TATTATAAATATCAGTGACTGTGCTAAGTTCTAAGAATAAATGGCTAATTTTCTTAAACTCAAAGAGTTCATGGTTGAGTGGCAGAAACAGATACAGTCATAAATAACTATGGTGTAATATGGAATTATAGAAGAAAACTACTTTGGAATCTGATATAAAGGGCAGTGTATATAGTGGTTCAAGCACAGACTTAACTCTAGAGTCAGATTGTCTGGGGTCTGGTTCAGACTCTATCTGTTATTAGCTGTGTAATTTGAGCAAATTACTTAACCTGTCAAAACCTTAATGTCCTTATCTGTAGGATGGAGATACTGATACAATTTAGTTTATAGAATTCTTATGAGAAGTAAATGAAAGTATATATGTAAAGCACTTAGCGTAGTTATGGAGCTAGTTAGTAAAACATTTTGAATACCTTGCTAAAGTGTTTACACTTTATTCTATAGGTCTCTGTTTTTCCAACTTTTATTTCTAAACAGCTGAGGAAACTAAACTTGCTGGGGCATAAGGAAGGGAATTACTTGAAACCAGTGTTACAGATAGGAATTTCTTAGTAATCTTGTATTTTATCTTAAAATTCATGTGACTTTGCCTGCTACTGTATAATGTATTTGTTTCAGTATAAAAATATTTTAAGTTATTTATTGGTTACATAATTTAATTCAGTACATTTATAGTTTTGTTTTTTTGAGACAGTCTTGTTCTGTTGCCCAGCCTAGCTCACAGCAGTCTCAAACTCCTGAGCTCAAGTGATCCTCCTGCAGCCTCCTGAGTAGGTGGGACTATACATGTGCACCACCATGCCTGGCTAACTTTTTCTATTTTTAGTAGAGACGGGATCTTCTCTTGCTTAGGGCTCAGGCTGTTCTCGAACTCCTGAACTCAAGTGACCCTCCTACCTCGGTCTCCCAGAGTGCTAGTATTATAAGTGTGAGCCACTGTGCCCAACCAAAGTATGTTTGTATTCTTATTTTTTTCTCTTGAGACAGAGTCTTGCTCTGTCACCTGAGCTAGAGTACAGTGGCATCATCATAGCTCACTGCAACCTCAAACTCCTGAGCTCAAGGAATCCTGCCTCAGTCTTCCAAGTAGCTAGGAATACAGGTGCATGCCACCATATCTGGTTAATTTTTTAAAAAATTTTTGGTAGAGATGGAGTCTCACTATGTTGCCCAGGCTGGTCTGGAACTCCAGGGCTCAAGCGATCCTCCTGCCTTGGTTTCTCAAAGTGCTGGGGTTATAGGTGTGAGCCACTGTACCTGGTCAGTATGTTTATATTCTAAGAAGATATACCACATTCATCCTGTAGCTTTTGTTTTCTGGCATATCTCTACTGGAGACCCCTTGTACATGTTCTCAGCATGAGAATTGTGATTATAAATGACACAGAGTCTTAGAAATTTTTTAGAAGAGGAGTGAATGGTAGGAAAAGAGCTCACTCATTAGAGGTGAGTTGGGCCAGATGGAATAGAAACGATTTCAGTTAATTTAAAAAGAACGTTCCTGTTCTACCTAGACATCGTTTAGTCTTTGAATTATGTGGATTACTTCATGATCTAAATGAAGTCAGACTTGATCCTGTCTCTTTTTGCTTTTTCAATAGGAGGTTTGTTTTTATCTTCTTCTTTCTTTTTTTTTGAGACAGAGTCTCACTTTGTTGCCCAGGCTAGAGTGAGTGCGGTGGCATCAGCCTAGCTCACAGCAACCTCAAATTCCTGGGCTCAAGCAATCCTTCTGCCTCAGCCTCCCGAGTAGAAGGGACTACAGGCATGCGCCACCATGCCTGGCTAATTTTTTCTATATATATTAGTTGGCCAATTAATTTCTTTCTATTTATAATAGAGACTGTCTCGCTCTTGCTCAGGCTGGTTTCAAACTCCTGACCTCGAGCAATCCACCTACCTTGGCCTCACAGAGTGCTAGGATTACAGGCGTGAGCCACCAAGCCCGGCCAGTAGGTTTGTTTTTAGTCTGTCTGTGGTGTTCCTCATTGGTACTGGGAAAAACCTCTTTGAACAGGAATTTCCAAGAGATGAATTGTTTAGACACCTAATCCTAGCTTCTGCTTTATCCTTCCTTATTAGTCTTCCTGTGCTGCTGCTGTTTTTAAAAATAGAATAGGAAACACTGCTCTCTCAAAACTTATATATTAGTTTAAATTACTGGGATTTGGAGAATCATAGATAGCAGTATGGGTTCTACAGTAGATACCTCTCCCCTCCACAGAGGTTAATAGTAAGTGAATGCCTTCCTGAGTTCTGTGAACAATATTAGCATATAATCAAATATGAGGCCCTCCTCAGGGGGATCATTGGAACTCCCAATTTATAGCCTATTGGTGAGAAGTATTGGTGCAATCCTGGGACTTGTGACTGGTGTCCGAAGTGGGGGTAGTCTTATGGGACTGAGCCCTTAACCTGCTGGGGCTATGCTAATCCCACGTACCTAGTTATCTATCCTTCTGCCTCAGCCTCCCAAGTAGCCAGTACTACAGATATGTACAGCATGCCCAGATGATTTTTTTTTTTTTTTTTTTTTTTTTTTTTGAGACAGAGTCTCACTTTGTTGTCCAGGCTAGAGTGAGTGCCGTGGCGTCAGCCTAGCTCACAGCAACCTCAAACTCCTGGGCTCAAGCGATCCTCCTGCCTCAGCCTCCCGAGTAGCTGGGACTACAGGCATGCGCCACCATGCCCGGCTAATTTTTTTTTTTATATATATATCAGTTGGCCAATTAATTTCTTTCTATTTATAGTAGAGACGGGGTCTCGCTCTTGCTCAGGCTGGTTTCGAACTCCTGACCTTGAGCAATCCGCCCGCCTCGGCCTCCCAAGAGCTAGGATTACAGGCGTGAGCCACAGCGCCCGGCCCCAGATGATTTTTTGTAGAGATGGGGGTCTCACTATGTTGCTATATTGCCCACACTAGTCTCGAACTCCTGGGCTCAAGTAATCCTCCCATCTCAGCCTCTCAAAGTGCTGGGATTATAGGTGTGAGGCACCTCACCCGGCTTTTGAAATATAATTTTTAATGACTGCATATTATTTAGCCATTAAAATGTCATTTGTTCAGTGTAATGTGGTTAATAGTTTGCTCCCTATCAGTTTCTAGTTTGAAGCCACACTCTGTCACTTACTGTTTATGGAATGCTGAGAAAGATGCTACTTTCCTGAGACTATTTTCATTTATGGAAAATGAAGATCATGTTTAACTACTTTATAAAATGGCAGTGAGGAATAAATGAAATAATGGCTAATTCTTTTTTTTTTTTTGAGACAGAGTCTTGCTTTGTTGCCCAGGCTAGAGTGAGTGCCGTGGCATCAGCCTAGCTCACAGCAACCTCAAACTCCTGGACCCAAGCAATCCTGCTGCCTCAGCCTCCCAAGTAGCTGGGACTACAGGCATGTACCACCATGCCCAGCTAATTTTTTCTTTATATGTTAGTTGGCCAATTAATTTCTTTCTATTTATAGTAGAGACAGGGTCTCACTCTTGCTCAGGCTGGTTTTGAACTCCTGACCTCGAGCAGTCCTCCTGCGTCATCCTCCCAGAGTGCTAGGATTACAGGCATGAGCTATGGCGCCCGGCCAATAATGGCTAATTCTTGTAAAACACACAGCACAGTCATATAGAAAGTACCTAATGGATGGTTAAATATAATTATATCATTGTTGGGGACATTTAGTGTGTTTATTTGAGTAATTAAAGCCCATATACGGCCAGGCACCGTGGCTAACACCTCTAATCCTAGCACTCTGGGAGGCCAAGGCGGGTGGATTGCTCAAGGTCAGGAGTTTGAAACCAGCCTGAGGAAGAGCAAGACCCCGTCTCTACTATAAATAGAAAGAAATTAATTGGCCAACTAGTATATAAAGAAAAAATTAGCTGGGCATTGTGGCGCACGCCTGTAGTCCCAGCTACTCGGGAGGCTGGGATAGTAGGATTGCTTGAGCCTAGGAGTTTGAGGTTGCTGTGAGTTAGGCTGACGCCACGGCACTCACTTTAGCTTGGGCAATAAAGCGAGACTCTGTCTCAAAAATAAAATAAATAAATAAAATAAAGCCCATACACCTAATTGTTTGTTCTAATTTGATTAGATTTTCATTCCTCAGACTAGAAAACTGGGTTAAACTTTTTGGAAGATGTAAAACCTATACCATATTCTTTTACTCAAGTAAGCTTATTATATTTGAACCATCAGGCTGGGTGTGGTGGCTCACACCTGTAATCTAGCACTCTGGGAGGCCAAGGCAGGAGGATTGCTTGAGGCCAGGAGTTCAAGACCAGCCTGAGCAAGAGTGAGACCCTGCCTCTACTAAAAATATAAAAATTAGCTGGGTGTGGTGGTGTGCACCTGTAGTCCTGGCTACATGGGAGGCTGAGGGAGGGGGATCACTTGAGCCCAGGAGTTTGAGGTTGCAGTGAGGTATGATGATGCCACTGCACTCTGGGGTGACAGAGCAAGACTGTCTCCAAACAAACAAACAAGAAAATTTTTAAAAATTGAATCATCAGGTTCACATAGGACTTTAGTAGGAGATCAGGCAAACGGGCTAGATTTTGGAAGGATTTGGATCTCAGTCTAATAATCTAAGAATTTTGTCTTTTGTCTTCAAGCCCATGGGAGTTCATTGAAGATTTGAGCAGGGCAGATCATGGGTGGTAATTTAAGAAGATTAATTTGCTATCCCTCTAAGGTTTTCCCCTGACCATGCCTGACTGATTAGAACCCCCTGCTTGTGTGCTCATGTAGTTTCCAATATGTCCTCTATGATAATACTTAAGAGACTGTATGTAAATGTTTATTTCAATGTTTCTCTTCTCTTGCTTCTGAAAATATGGATCACATGTTGTACTCCCCACTGCCTAACACAGTTATCAGGCATATGATACACCTAAATAAATATTTGTTGAATGAGTAAATGAATGTTTTGTTCTTTGCTTTTCTGGAAACTAACTTGTTGGCTTTTTTGTTCCTTTATGTTTTTTCCTGGGCTCCAAGGAGGAGGCATCTCCCTATTCCTTACTTGATATCTGCTTGAATTTCCTCACTACTCACCTTGAGAAGTTCTGTTCAGCAAGACAAGATGGAACACTCTGTCTGCAGGAACCTGGAGTATTCCCACAGGAGGTGGCTGATCGGCTGCTTCAGACCATGGCTTTTCATGGTAAAAATTAAACGGAAGAAACAAAAATTATGTGCTGTTGATTGGCATTGGATTTTGAAGTGCTACTGTAATCATTTAATTATTTTCTTAGAAATAACAGGACAGGTCTAATGAGCCTGATTCCAGGAAAAGGAATTCACTTATTTTTACTTATTCTTCCTCTTACTGTGTAATTTAGAATGAACATTTTTCTCATCTCAGCAAACCTTTTTTTTTGTTTTCAGAAGCCATTCTTGTCAGAAATACTCTAACTTACAAAATCACTTAGAAGTCTGCCAGTATGAAATTACATCTTTATTTGACAGTAAGAGAATCAATACTATTATGGAAAGATTAGTTTCTGCTTTTGACCTTTTAAATGGGAAATCACAGTTAATTTAGTACTTCTATTTTCAAAAATAAATTCTGAAAATAAATTGAGAAAGTCTCATCTGTGAAGTTCTCATTAAGCATATTGAATATTTTTGTTCTTTTTAAGTTTTAAGTTGAAAAAGATACTTTATATCTTTAGGGTTTGTAAACTCTTATAAGTAGGAAATATGCTTTGTCCATAGCTATAAAATACAGTGAAAAATTGGCAATAATAATAGCTTCATTTATCGCCTATGTGCTAGACATTTTACATATATTTTCATGGGATTTTCTCAAAAACTCTATAAGATATTTGTTGTTATTCCCGTTTATATACAGATAAGGAAACTGAGGTTCAGAGAAGTAATTTGCTGAGGGTCGCACTGCTAATAAATAGTGGAGTCCGGGTTCATATGTTAGTCTGTCTGATTCTAAATATATGCTCTTCCCATTGTGCTACACAGCCTTACTACACCTACATTAGAAGTATCCCTGGCCAGGCTCGGTGGCTCATGCCTGTAATCCTAGCACTCTGGGAGGCCGAGGTGGGTGGATTGCTCAAGGTCAGGAGTTTGAAACCAGCCTGAGCGAGACCTCGTCTCTACTAAAAATAGGAAGAAACTAATTGACCAACTAAAAATATATATAAAAAAAAATTAGCCGGGCATGGTGGCACATGCCTGTAGTCCCAGCTACTCGGGAGGCTGAGGCAGTAGGATCTCTTGAGCCCAGGAGATTGAGGTTGCTGTGAGCTAGGCTGACGCCATGGCACTCACTCTAGCCTAAGCAACAATGCTCCTAGATCCCAAATAATGGTTTACACTTTTGGTATGATTTTATATGTATATATAGACACACACACATAACTGTTAAGCATGAATCTATATAATGCATTCCAAGGAAGAGTGGGAAAAAATGAGGCTGTAATTGAGGCATTTTGGAATAATTTAGGAAAGAAGACCACCTCTGCATTCCTTGGTTTTCAGTAAATTGCTCAAGTCCTCAGTCTCTTTGAATTTTTCCAACCTGCCACAGGCATCAGGGTAAATTTCAATAAATACTATATATGTTAAAGTTAAAGGTCTCTTACAAAGCTGCACAACAATTTAAGAGATTTATGTCAATGCTAACATTTCATTCTAATCTCAACGATTATGGTCAGCATTTTCAATTAAAAAAACTTGTAGGCTGGGCGCGGTGGCTCATGTCTGTAATCCTAGCACTCTGGGAGGCCAAGGCGGACAGATTGTTCGAGATCAGGAGTTCAAAACCAGCCTAAGCAAAAGTGAGACCCTGTCTCTACTATTAATAGAAAGAAATTAACTGGCCAACTAATATATATACAAAAAATTAGCCGGGCATGGTGGCGCATGCCTGTAGTCCCAGCTACTCAGGAGGCTGAGACAGTAGGATTCCTTGAGCCCAGGAGTTTGAGGTTGCTATGAGCTAGGCTGACGCCATGGCACTCACTCTAGCCTGGGCAACAAAGCGAGACTCTGTCTCAAAAAAAACAAAAAAACCCAACAAATTGACATATAATAGTTGTGCATATTTATGGGGTAAGTAGTGATGTTTCAATACATATAATATACAGTGATCATATCAGGGTAATTAGCATATCATTTGTGCTGGGAACATTCAGTATCCTCCTTCTAGCTATTTGGAACTATATGTTATTGTTAACTACGGTCATCCTACAGTGATATAGAACATTAGAGCTTATTCCTCCTATCTAGCTGTAATTTTGTATCGTCTAACAAATTTCCCCCCTCCTACCTGTCCTAGCCTCTAGTATCCTTTGTTCCACTTTTTGCTTCTGTGAAATCAGCTTTTTTTTAGCTTCCACATATGAGTGAGAACATGCAGTGTTTAACTTTCTGTTCCTGGCTTATTTCACTTAACAAAATGTCCTCCAGTTCCATCTGTGTTGCTGTGAGTAAAAGGACTTCATTCTTTTTTATGGCTGAATATTATTTGATTATGTATATTATGCTATATTTCCTTTATCCATTCGTCTGTTGTTGGACACCTACGTTGATTCCATATCTTAGCTATTGTGGATAGTGCTACAGTAAACATAGGGATGCAGGTGTCTGTTCGTGATACCGATTTCCTTTACTTTGGATAAATACCCCATAGTGTGATTGCTAAATCATATGGTAGTTCTGTTTATAGTTTTTTGAGGAACTTCTTTATTATTCTCCATAGTGGCTGTACTAGTTTACATTCCCACCAACAGTGTATAAGAGTTCCCTTTTCTTTGCATCCTTGCTAACATGTTATTATTTTTTTTCTTTTTTTTTTTTTTTGAGACAGAGTCTCGCTTTTGTTGCCCAGGCTAGAGTGAGTGCCGTGGTGTCAGCCTAGCTCACAGCAACCTCAAACTCCTGGGCTCAAGCAATCCTCCTGCCTCAGCCTCCTGAGTAGCTGGGACTACAGGCACGCGACACCATGCCCAGCTAATTTTTTTTATATATATATATTAGTTGGCCAATTAATTTCTTTCTATTTTTATAGTAGAGACAGGGTCTCGCTCAGGCTGGTTTTGAACTCCTAACCTTGAGCAATCCGCCTGCCTCGGCCTCCCAGAGTGCTAGGATTACAAGCGTGAGCCACCACGCCCGGCCTATTTTTTTTTCTTTTTGAATGCTAACTGGTGTGAGATGATATTTCATTGTGGTTTTGATTTGCATTTCCCTGATGATTGGTGATATTGAGCATTTTTTCATGTATTTTTTTGGCCATTTGTATGTCTTCTTTTAAGAAATGTCTATTTGGATCATTTGCCCCCTTTTTTTTTTGAGACAGAGTTTCACTCTTTTGCCTGGGCTAGAGTGCTGTGGCATCAGCCTAGTTCACAGCAACCTCAAACTCCTGGGCTCAAGTGATCCTCCTGCCTCAGCCTCCCGAGTTACAGGCACGCGACACCATGCCTGCTAATATATATATATATATATATATTTTTTTTTTGTTGGCCAATTAATTTCTTTCTCCTTTTAGTAGAGATGGGGTCTCACTCTTGCTCAGGCTGGTCTCGAACTCCTGAGCTCAAAAGGATCCACCCACCTCGGCCTCCCAAAGTGCTAGGATTATAGGCGTGAGCCACTGCACCTGACCCATTTGCCCATTTTTAATTTTTTTCTTTTATTTTTTTTGAAGATATGGTCTAACTTTGTTGCCTGGACATGAGGGTAGTGGCATGATCATAGCTCACTGCAACCTCTAACACCTGGGCACAAGTGATCCTTCTGCCTCAGCCTCCTGAGTAGCTGGGACTACAAGCATGCACTACCATTCCCACCTAGTTTTTCTTTTTTTGTTTTTGTAGAGATGGGGGTCTTGCTGCATTGCTCAGGCTGGTCTTGAACTCCTGACCTCAAGCGATCCTCCTGCCTTGGCCTTCTATAACACTAGGATTATAGGCCTGAGCCACCACATCCAGCCTAGGTTTTTAACTGTTTGATGATAATTAAGTGCAAAATTTGTTAGACAGTAGTGCTGCCTTTAAAAAATACCTTAGTTCTAATTTAAGGGTAGCTGGCTGACAGCCCACCTACTTTAGAATGAGCCAGCTGAAGTGCCACTTAAGAGTTCTTCTCTTAGGCTAGGCAGGGTGGCTCATGCCTGTAATCCTAGGTGGGCGGGAGGATTGGTTCAGTTCAGGAGTTTGAGACCAGCCTGAGCAAGAGTGAGACCATCTCTACTTAAAAAAAAAAAAAAGAAAAGAAAAAAGAAAAAATTAGCCAGGCCTTGTGTAATGTATGTGTATTCCCAGCTACAGGAGGCTGAGGCACGACGATTACTTTATCCCAGGAGTTGAAGGCTGCAGTGAGCTGTGCTGATGCCTAGGCATTCTAGCCCAGGCAACAGAGCAAGACTCTGTCTAAAAAAAAAAAAGTTTTTCTCTTGACTCCCGGCTATTTATTTACCTGGAGCTAAGTGGTAATTCACCCTAGACTATTCTTAGACTACATTTTATTGGCATGACTATTATTTCTTTCACAGTAGATGTTGTTTAATATATAATATTGTTGAGATTTGTATCATATATTTGTGGCACTATTGCTTGGTGGACAGGTGGATCTCTAAGCGACTTCAAGAGGTTACTGTGTCTATTTGCATTCATCTGACAGGGAGGGAGGGGGTATAACTGCTAGATCCTTTTTATTAGGTTTCATATCTGGGTAGTGGTTTAATAATGAATTTGTAGGCATTATATGTGCTAAATATATTGTATGTATATGTGTTTGTGTGTATAGCAAAGTGTCATAGTGAATTTAAAGGATGAGTTGTAACAAATCATATACTTAACACAAACTTTATACTTCACTCATGGTATACAATCTCTGTAAGTCTATAGAAGGTTCTGTTGCTTGGTCACCCTAGGATCTAAACTGATGGAGGTTCCATCTTTATAAAGGTATACTCTGTAGAATATGAAGCCTCCTCATTTGTCCTGGCAGGAAAAGAGAGCATGAAAAATCATGCACTGGCTCTCAGGTACTTCAGCCTACAGCCCATGGGCCCGAACTAGGAACATGGCCCCATCTAACTACAAGGGAGGGCTGGGAAATGTAGTTGTCTGTGTCTACTAAGGCGAGGAGAATCAGGTGTTAGTGTATATCAGTAATGTCTATATTAGTCCTGATTCTGTCACTTGCTAGCTCTGTGATTCTGGATAACCACTTTCTGAGCCCCAGTTTACCCATCTATAAATTGTAAATAATAATATTCTCATCTCAGTGAATTGTGATTATCAAATGAGATACTATTACATGGGAGTGCTTTGGAAATTTAAGTGTGATAGAAATTTTAGCTATTCTTTACCTGTTTTTTGAAGTTAAAATGTTGCTTGTTTTTCCCCAGGTCTACTGAATGATGGAACTGTGGGTATTTTTAGGGGGAACCAAATGCGCTTAAAGCGAGCTTGCATTCGCAAAGCAAAGATCTCTGCTGTTGCTTTCCGGAAAGCTTTCTGCCATCACAAGTTAGTGGAACTTGATGCCACAGGTGTGAATGCTGATATCACGATCACAGACATTATCAGTGGGCTTGGCAGTAACAAATGGATCCAGCAAAATCTCCAGTGCCTAGTGCTGAATTCATTAACTCTCTCACTTGAGGATCCTTATGAGCGGTGCTTCAGCCGGCTTTCTGGCCTTAGAGCTTTAAGCATCACCAATGTTCTCTTTTATAATGAAGACCTGGCTGAAGTTGCCTCATTGCCAAGATTAGAGAGCCTGGATATTTCTAACACCTCGATCACAGACATTACTGCTCTGCTGGCCTGCAAAGACCGACTCAAATCTCTAACCATGCATCACTTGAAATGTTTAAAAATGACAACTACCCAGATACTGGATGTTGTTCGGGAACTAAAACATCTGAATCATCTTGATATCTCAGATGATAAACAGTTTACATCAGACATAGCTCTCCGCTTACTAGAACAAAAAGACATCCTACCCAATCTTGTCTCTTTGGATGTTTCTGGGAGAAAGCATGTGACAGATAAAGCTGTTGAAGCCTTCATACAACAACGACCCAGCATGCAATTTGTAGGTTTGCTGGCCACTGATGCTGGTTACTCTGAATTCCTCACAGGCGAAGGACATTTGAAGGTTAGACTTTAAAAATGTATTATTTTTTCAGGCTGACCAATGTCTTAGTTGCATAAGACTCTATTAAGATGAATATCTAACAATATATGGAACATGTTCATGAAACAGGGCATTGTATAGTGGATAGATTTGCTTTAAGCCAAAGAGTCCTAATTTAAAATCCCAGCTTACTTGTTTCATGACCCAGAGCAAGCTGTGATGTAACTTTTTTGGGTTTTTTTGGTTTGTTTTTTTTGGAGAGTTTCACTCTATCACCCACGGTGAGGTACAATGGTGCGATCATAGCTAACTGCATCCTCAAACTCCTGGACTTAAGTGAAGCAATCCTGCTGCCTAAGCCTCCCAAGTTGCTAGGACTATAGGCACATGCCACTGTGCCTGGCAATTTTTAAATTTTATTTCTTGTGGAAATGGTTCCTTGCCAGGTTGTCCAGGCTAGTCTTGAACTTCTGACCTCAAGCAGTCCTCCCATCTCAGTCTCCCAAAGTGCTCGAATTACAGGAATGAGCCATCACACCCACTTCAAGTTTCCATTTCTCTATTTGTAAATAGATATTCCTATCTTGCAGAATTCTTCTAAAGATTAATAACTATATAAGTAAAGTGCAAGTCACATAGTAAGTCCTAGATAAGTAATAGGTCTTGTTACAATGACAATGTTTAGATAATTTGAACCAGTAAACATACCATTTCTTCTGTCTTCTCTCCCCACCCCCACCTCTACCAGATAGGGTCTTGCTCTGTTGCCCAGACTGGAGGTCAGTGATGCTATCATAGCTTGTTGCAGTCTTGAACTGCTGAACTCAAGTGATCCTCTCACCACAGCCTCCCAAGTTGACGGGACTGTAGGCGCACGACACCACACCTGGATAATTAAAAAAAAAAAATTAATTTTTTTTTGAGACAGAGTCTCACTCCCTCACCCTGGGTAGAGTGCAGTGACATCATCATAGCTCACTGTAACCTCAAACTCTGGGCCTTAAGCTATTCTCCTGCCTCAGCCTCCCAAGTAGCTGGGACTACAGACAAGCACCATGTCACCCAGCTAATTTTTTTTCTATCTTTAGTAGAGATGGGGTCTAGCTCTTTGAGGATGGTCTTGAACTTCTAAGCTCAGGCAATCCTCCTGCCTCAGTTTCCCAGAGTGCTAGGATTATAGGCGTGAGTCACAGTGCCCAGCTTTAATATAATTTTTTTATAATTTTTTTAAAAAGAGCTCATTGGGGCCAGGCACAGTGGCTCATGCCTGTAGTCCCAGCTACTTGGGAGGCTGAGGCGAGAGGATTGCTTGAGCTCAGGAGTTTGAAGCTGCAATGAGCTCTGATTGCGCCACTGCACTCTATCCTGGGTGACAGAGACCCTGTCTCGAAAAAAAAAAAAAGAGATATCATTGTTGGAACTTTGCCCTTTGTTTAAATATGTACAAAAATTGCTGTTCATTTTAAATTATTTGACTATCATTTTGAGAGCTGAAAAATAATAGATCATAATAATAAGGAAGAGAGCTGAGGCCAGGTGTTGTGGCTCACGTCTGTAATCCCAGCACTCTGGGAGGCCAACGCAGGAGGATCACTTGAGGTCAGGAGTTCAAGACTAGCCTGTGCAAAAGCAAGACCCCATCTCTACCAAAAATAGAAATAATGAGCTGGGTGTGGTGGCATGCGCCTATAATCCCAGCTATTTGGGAGACTGAGACAAGAGGATCATTTGAGCCCAGAAGTTGGGGGTTGCACTGAGCTATGATGATGTCACTGCACTCTACCCTGGGTGACAAAGCAAGATTCTGTCTCAAAAAAAAAGAAAAAGGAGAGCTGAGATTGCTCTATATATCTTCTTTTTTAGAATTGTCAAGTTTAGCAGAGTTGCTGCATATCTCAGAATTGGGATGCTTTAAATTAGGTAAGGTTGGTTTTAGATTGGTTTTTTGGCCTTGTGTGTCTCAGTTTTTTAGACCACACTAAAAGATGCAAGAAATAGAGTCTTTGTAATTTCCTGGTATTAGAGTCTGCCCTTGTTATCCATGGACTATTTGATTCCAAAGTCTGTTTCCTTTCTGCTATACCTCACTGACTCTATTTGAGTGTTGTAGTTCTGTCCTTTTCTTCAGTTTCTAGTCCCCACCACAGATGGTTTTCTTACCATAGAATTTCCAAATCTATCATCACTAATTTCTCCACTCAAAGTTCTCTTCTGTTACCATTAGTTTCCTGAACCTTTCACTTTTCCACAACTAGAATTCTTACATTTGTTGGTCACCTCATTCCCAAATTTAGATTATTTACCAAGCTGTGGCTGTCAGCTCCTGAGAACATTGGAAATCTGTTAAACCCAATTTAGTTTTCAGTCTTCATCTTATTTAACCTAAAGTGGTATTGATACAGTTGATCTTGCCCTCCTCTTTGAAATTTTTTTTTAATTTAGCTTCCAGAATATCACAGTTTTTTTTTTTTTCGACTTATCTTGCTTCTCAGTCTCAGTTTCCTGTATTGGTTCTTCTTCATCTTCCAGGGCTCTAAATGTTAAAATATTCCATACTGTAGTCCTTAAATCTATATGGCAATTTTTCCTAAATTTGTGTCTCTAACTTACATCTCTCCCTTGAACTCAGACTCTTGTATTGAACTGCAAATAATGAACATACAGTAAAAGTACATAGAAGTTTTTTTAACCATTTCAAACAACATTTACTAAGTACATTTTTAAGATGTCTGAGTTAGTATCCTTGCTCTTGAGGAATTCTAGTCTAGTGGAAAAGAGACACATAAATGTAAAAATAGATTTATTACAGTATGAGAGATATTATAATAGAAGTATGTATGGAGCGCTATAGGAAAATTTGTCTTTGGAGTACACATTTTAGTTTAAATCCACGTAATAATTTGTTTTTTTTTTTTTTTTTTTTAAGATGGGGGTCTCACTCTTGGCTCAGGCTGGTCTTGAACACCTGAGCTCAAGCTATCCGCCCACCTCGTCCCTCCAGAGTGCTAGGATTATAGGCGTGAGCCATGGCATCTGGCCTAAATCCATATGAAAAGTATTTGTAGGGCTTAATTTAGTGGTTAAGGACAGTTTCTCTATTTTAAACTGTAGGCCAGTCCCTTTCTTTTCCTTATAATTTGTCTATTAAGATTCTAGTCCATTTTAATTTGTAGAGTTCTTTCTGCCTGGATTTTGTTGATTGTATACTAACAGTGCATATTTTTCATGGTATTTTCTGCAAATTGGTAGCTGGATTTGGAGGCTTAATTAGACTGATTTGATCCCTCTGCCAGGACCTTTATTTGTTGTGCTCTTTCATTAGGAGATACATAATGTCTAGTTGTTTCTTTTTCTATGATGTTAGCAGTTATTGGCACTCAGTACCTAGTTCTATTAATTTATTGGGGATTATGGTGATATTTTAATTATTTCATTTTCATTTTTCAGTTGAATTACTTTTATAAAGAGGCACTTCCTTTTATCTGTATTTGGTTACCCAGTGGTACATATGAACCATAGTTAAATATATCAACCAGTGTAAATGGAAAATCCCTAGATAGACTTAATTTTTTTTGAGACAGAGTCTTGCTTTGTTGCCTAGGCTAGAGTGAATGCCATGGTGTCAGCCTAGCTCACAGCAACCTCAAACTCCTGGGCTCAAGCAATCCTTCTGCCTCAGCCTCCCGAGTAGCTGGGACTACAGGCATGTGCCACCATGCCCGGCTAATTTTTTCTGTAAATATTAGTTGGCCAATTAATTTTCTTTCTGTTTATAGTAGAATTTTTTCTATATATTTTTAGTTGGCCAATTAATGTCTTTCTATTTTTAGTAGAGACGGGTTCTCTCACTCTTGCTCAGGCTGGTTTTGAACTCCTGACCTTGAGTGATCCACCCGCCTCAGCCTCCCAGAGTGCTAGGATTACAGGCTTGAGCCACCAAGCCCAGCCAATAGACTTAATTTTTAACAGAATCTCTTGGTGCTGAATGGCAGCCTGATAAATCTGGGGAAATTAATTAATACATTTATTTTGCAAATATTTATTGAGTGTGTCTCCTGACCCAAGCATAATGCTAACTACTGGGGTAAAATAGTGAATGGATCAGTCTAATGGGGGATTATGATGATGGCTATGAAAGAGATGTTTTAGTACAACCTAATTTAGATCAGTGAGTCAAGGAAGGCCTCTTTAAAGAAGTGTTACTTAACTACTTAACTTGAATTAAGAAGTGTAAGTAGGCCAGGCCGGTGGCTCATGCCTGTAATCCTAGCACTCTGGGAGGCCGAGGCTGGAAGATTGCTGGAGGTCAGGAGTTTGAGACCAGCCTGAGCAAGAGCGAGACGCCATCTCTACTATAAATAGAAAGAAATTAATTGGCCAACTAATATATATAGACAACATTAGCCAGGCATGGTGACGCATGCCTGTAGACCCAGCTACTCGGGAGGCTGAGGCAGGAGGATCGCGTAAGCCCAGGAGTTTGAGGTTGCTGTTAGCTAGGCTGGTGCCAAGGCACTCACTCTAGCCTGGGCAACAAAGCGAGACTGTCTCAAAAAAAAAAAAAAGGAAACAAAGAAGTGTAAGTAGAAATTAGTCAAGCAAAGAGAGAAAGGAAGAAGGAAGGCTGGGCGTGGTGGCTCATGCCTGTAATCCTAGCACTCTGGGAGGCCGAGGCAGGCGGATTGCTCGAGGTCAGGAGTTTGAAAACAGCCTGAGCGAGACCCTGTCTCTACTAAAAATAGAAATTAATTGACCAACTAAATATATATACAAAAAATTAGCCGGGCATGGTGGCGCATGCCTATAGTCCCAGCTACTCGGGAGGCTGAGGCAGGAGGATCGCTTGAGCCCAGGAGTTTGAGGTTGCTGTGAGCTAGGCTGGTGCCAAGGCACTCACTCTAGCCTGGGCAACAAAGTGAGACTCTGTCTCAAAAAAAAAGAGAGAGAGAAAGAAAGTTTTCAGTCAGGGAGGACATTATATTACATATAATGGCCTTTTGCTGAGAAAGAGCTTAGCTTTTGAAAAATCAGAAAAAAAGACCAGTGTAACTGTAATACTGTTATCTAGGGAAAGACGGTTACCTTAAGAAAAAGATGGAAGCCTAATGCTGTGGTAAGTCCTTATAAATAGTGCCAAATATCTTGAGATTTATTTTAGGTGCAACATAGAAAATTTTGCCCATAGGCTTATGCTAGGTTCTGAACCTATCTAATATATATCTCTTCAGGATGAATATACCTCTTTAGGATGACTATTCCGGATAGGTTGGAAAGTAATTATTTCCATTAATATCAAGCCTCATGTAACTATCCGGGATGCCATGTATACAAGTGATGTTTATATAGAGAAAGTTAGAAGGTTGAAAATAATTCTAAAAGCTAATCTTTTGGCTACGTTCAAAGGTGTCTGGAGAAGCCAATGAAACTCAGATTGCAGAAGCATTGAAGCGGTACAGTGAACGGGCATTCTTTGTCCGGGAAGCTCTATTTCATCTTTTTAGTCTGACTCATGTGATGGAAAAAACAAAGCCAGAAATTTTAAAGGTAAGAAGAAACGGGATGTGAAATTTTTGAAATTATTTATATTGGTAGATGATGATTTTGTGAAGAACAATGGTAAAAATTTGCATTTAGTTTTTGATTTTGGGATTTATAGTGGGATTTATGATGTGCAATTTCAGTTATAACTATAAATGTGAGAGAAGATAGTTGCGTAGTGTTATTGAAGTTTTTTAGTAGTCTAATTAAACAACATAAATATCTTTGGGTGCATATTTAACTACCTAGAACCAGTAACCACCACAATATCACCAGCTGTAGTAGAAAATGGAAGTATATGACCGGAATTAGGACATTGCATTGTATATTACCCCTATATTGCTTCCTATATAGGCTGCTTTTAGAAATACAGTATTGAAATTCCATAAGGTACTTTTGTATGCTATTTAGAACCTCCTGTGTTTTCATAACAGATCCTCATTACTCCCCAATTAAGATTTTGTTTTTAAGAGAAAGGGTCTTACGATATTGCCCAGGCTAGAGTGCAGTGATTATTCACAGGCACAAGTGTAGTGCACTAGAGCCTCAAACTCCTGAGCTCAAGCAGTCTCTTGCCTCAGCTTCCCAAGTAACTGAGACTACAGGCATATACCATCACATAGAGCTAAGATATTTTAAACAAGACAGTTTTTGAAGGACAAAAAGGAGATTTTTAGGTTTGTTGAGTGTTTAGGGCAGTGTTTATCAAAATGTGATTCTTTAAACACTAGAAGTCTAGGATATTGTTTATTTAAAAGGCATATTTGTGAACCCCATCTCAAGAAATTGAGATTCTATAGGGCTAGATGGACACAGGAATCTGCATTTTAGTAAATCCCCAAGATAAATCTTATGCACATTCAATTTTGAAAACCAGTGGGTATAGGACTGTGTTATATTTGGCACCTCATTTAGTGTGTGCAACAATCCCAACTTTTTATCGTCTCTTTTACAGATGAAGCTGAGGTCTGTGAGGTTAAGTATAATAACAATCAGTGGCAGAGCCAGAACTGACTTGACCTCCTAAATCTTAAATTTTGATAATGGGGAACTTGGAGAGTAACCAGTAACATTTCAATCCTTAGGATATTATCCCTAACAATTGTCACTCCATATATACCAGAGGATATTGGCATTTGGTATATGCATTGTCTTTTTTGGCTTTGGTTACTATGAACCTGAACAACAAAGGACTAGATCCTCTAGTCTTGATCTGAGATATTCATTCAGAATGATTCAGAGAAAAATAAAAAATACAAGCAATTCTTACATGGAGTTTTCATGCAAAGGGAAGCAAAGAGAAAGGTGGTAATTGAGAAAGTGGGATCAAAAGAGGGCTTTTTGTTTTTGTTTTTTTAAGATAGGAGAAATAATAGCTTGTTTGTATGCTGATATGAATGATCCAATACAGAACAAAAAATTGTTGTAGAAGGGGGCAAATAGCTGAAGTGATGTCCTTGGTAGACAAGAAGGGAACAATCTCACTTATAAATGAAGTAATTAACTTTAGAAAGGAGTCCAAAAAGATCATTTATAGTAAAAGGCAGGAAAGTTGCATATATATAGGTATATACTGGTAAGGGGGATACATGTGGTAGTGAGAATCTGAAGTTCTTTTCTGATTGCTTCAGTTTTCTTAGTATAGTTGGAAGCAAGATCTTCAGCTGATAGTGAGGGATGGGGAAGATTTGTTGGGGGTTTAAAGAGAGAGGAAAGGTAAGAAATAGCTTTCTTTCTCTCATCAGTAATAGGTGTGAAAAATAGAATGAAAAAAATTTTTTTAAATGAAATAGTTTTCTGGGATGGGGTAAGTGAATGGATTTTGTTGCACTCTTACTTCATCAGAGTTCCCAAGGCACTGAAGGTTGGTATGTAAAAGTGAAGTCTGCCCACTGGTTTACTCTATTCAAGCCAGTGAGAATTTATTCACTGCTTTCCATATAACAGGCACTGTAGTAGGCCTTGGAAATAAAAAGATGAGTAACTTGTATAGAAAGAATTTGTTAGTTTTACAGGAAATTTTATTTTATTTTATTTTTTATTTATTTATTTTTTTTGAGACTGGCTTTGTTGCCCAGGCTAGAGTGAGTGCCGTGGCGTCAGCCTAGCTCACAGCAACCTCAAGCTCCTGGGCTCAAGCAATCCTCCTGCCTCAGCCCCCCGAATAGCTGGAACTACAGGCATGCGCCACCATGTCCAGCTATTTTTTTTTCTATATATATTAGTTGGCCAATTAATTTCTTTTTATTTATAGTAGAGACAGGGTCTCGTTCTTGCTCAGGCTGGTTTCGACCTCCTGACCTCAAGCAATCCGCCCGCCTTGGCCTCCCAGAGTGCTAGGATTACAGGCGTGAGCCACCGCGCCCAGCCAGGAAATTTTAGATACGGAGACCTGCATCAGCTAGGTAGGCTGGAATTCTTTGTGAGTAACTGCTATGTCCTAGGCTCTTTGCACATGAGGATAAAAAAGAAACTTAAGACATCTTTGAAATTATTATAGATCAACAGAGTAATGTTGCTTTGTGAAGAAAGCTTGTATTTATAAGGTGAATTAAGAGGACTAATTTTTCTTCCAGCTTGTGGTTACAGGGATGAGAAACCACCCTATGAATTTGTCGGTGCAACTGGCTGCAAGCGCCTGTGTATTTAATTTAACCAAGCAGGACCTTGCTGCAGGAATGCCTGTCCGACTCCTGGCTGATGTGACCCATTTGCTGCTCAAAGCCATGGAACATTTTCCCAATCATCAGCAGGTAAGAATATATGAATTCCCATTCAAATAGTCCTTTTGGTGTCTCCTTCTCCCCATCTCCTACCTCCGTATCGTTCAGTTTAATAAACCAAGGATGGAAGTTCAAATACCTCTGGAGGCTGTATAGTAATAATTTTTTTTTTTTTTTTTTTTTGGACAGGGTCTCACTTCGTTGCTTGGGCTAGAGTATAAAGTGCATTGGTGTCATCATACTTTACTGCAACCTCAAACTCCTGTGCTCAAGTGGCCCTCATGCCTCAATCTCCCAAATAGCTGGGACTGTAGGTACACACCATCATTCCCAGCTAATTTTTTAATTTTTTTTAAAGACAGCATCTTGCTGTGTTGCTTAGGCTGGCCTCAAACTCCTGGATGCAAGTGATCCTCCTGCCTCAGCCTCCCAAAGTGCTAGGATTATAGGCATTAACTACCACACTCAGCCTGTGTAGTAATAAATGTGTGGAATTACTGAGTATAGAACAGAGAAGTGGACAACTAGAGAGTACATTTCCTGCCTAAAAGCACTTAAATCCATGTTGAGGACAATAGTGCAAGTTATACAAAACTCATCTTCCATGGAGATCTTGAGTTTGTGATAATTTCAGCAAATAGACACATAGGATCTGTTCTGGGCTAGGCACTATCAAATGTTGGGATACAGAAATGAGTAAGATGTATAAGACATCTATTTTCTATCTCTGGAAGTATGAGAGACCACATACCTGTCTTATCCTCAGGATGAATACTAAAAATGCTGCATGAATTATTTCTTTAGGTCATTTGAAATTGAGCAGTGAGTTGGCAGGTTAGTGAAAAATACTTAGAAACCCACAACCAAGTAAAAATGGCACGCCAGACTGGCAATTAGATCATTAAAACCAGCTTCCTTCATTTAGGACAATTGGCAAAGTAGATGAAATTTAGGCTTTGGTTTCATGGCCCCTGGAAGCCAGTCAAGCAGACATACTCCTAGCATAAAGCTATGACCCCCCTTCCCCAAAAGGGTGCATCCTTAACAAGAGGAAGTTATAAATAAACCTGCCTCTGTTAGAGAAACAACAAAAGAATATTTCTTTCCTTAGAAGGAAAGAAATAATAAAGATAAAAGTAAAAATGAAACAAAAAAACAAATATACCATTGGATTAGAGGATCAACAATATCAAGAATTGGTTCTTTGAACATATTTAATAATATTGAAAAGTGTTTGGCAAAATTGATGAAGGAAAATGAGAGAAGATACAAATAAACAGATTAGGAAATGGTGGTCAGGGAAATGGGAAGTCATTATATTGAGTGTAGAATTTCCTTTCTGGGGTGATGAATATGCTTGGGGTGATGAAATTGTGGTGATGGTTGTACTACTCTGTGACTATACTAAAAACTGTCAAATTGTACACTTTAAATAGGTGAATTGTATGGTATGTGAATTATATCACAATAAAGCTGTTAAATATTTTTAAAAAGAACGTTTGGCCGGGAGTGGTAGCTCATACCTATAATCCCAGCACTTTGGGAGGCCAAGGCAGAAGGATCACTTGGCGCCAGCAGTTTGAGACCAGTCTAGACAATATAGTAAGACCCCATCTTTACAAAAAAGAAAAAGGAAAAAAAAAAAAAACCAATTAGCTGGCACCTGTAGTCCTAGGTACTCAGGAGGCTAAGGCAGGAAGTTAGCATGAGCCCAGGCATTTGAGGTTGCAGTGAGTTATGATCATGCCACTGCACTGCACTCCAGCCTGGGCAACAGAGCAAGACTGTCTCTAAAAAACAAACAAAAAAGAATGTTCACAAAAAGCACTGTGTGTGATGATAATGAAAACAAATTGGCATCAGCCTGTGTCTTCTTTAGTCATAACAACAGAATACTTAAAAACAGTGAATAATGAATGAATTATAACTCTAGACTACATATATAACCTAGATCAATCTCAGTTACAAGTTGGGTATAAAAGAATTGCAGAAGAGTACAAAAATATGATTCTAGTTACAGTTCAAAAACTTACAAAACTATATGGTAGCCTGTAATCCTAGCACTCTGGGAGCCTGAGGCTGGCGGATCCCTCAAGGTCAGGAGTTCGAAACCAGCCTGAGCAAGATCGAGACCCTGTCTTTACTAAAAACAGAAAGAAATTAATTGGCCAACTAAAAATATATAGAAAAAATTAACTGGGCATGGTAGCACATGCCTGTAGTCCCACCTACTCGGGAGGCTGAGGCAGGAGGATTGCTTAAACCCAGGAGTTTGAGGTTGCTGTGAGCTAGGCTGACGCCATGTACTCTAGCCCGAGCAACAGAGTGAGACTCTGTGTCAAAAAAACAAACAAAAAAAACTATATGGCATATTATTTAGGGATATAAACATGTGTTTTAAAAAAAGCAAGGAGGCTGGGTGTGGTGGCTCACACCTGTAATCCTAGCACTCTGGGAGGCCAAGGCAGGTGGAATTGCTCAAGGTAGAGAGTTCGAAACCAGCCTGAGTGAAACCTCATCTCTACTAAAAATAGAAAGAAATTAATTGACCAACTAAAAATACATATACAAAAAATTAGCCGGGGGCCGGGCGCGGTGGCTCACGCCTGTAATCCTAGCACTCACGGAGGCTGAGGCAGGCGGATTGCTCGAGGTCAGGAGTTTGAGACCAGCATGAGCAAGAGCGAGACACCGTCTCTACTATAAATAGAAAGAAATTAATTGGCCAACTAATACATATAGAAAAAATCAGCCGGGCATGGTGGCGCATGCCTGTAGTTCCAGCTACTCGAGAGGCTGAGGCAGGAGGATCACTTGAGCCCAGGAGTTTGAGGTTGCTGTGAGCTAGGTTGACACTATGTACTCTAGCCCGGGCAACAAGAGTGAGACTTTGTCTCAAGAAAAAAAAGCATTTTAAAACAATTTTTTTAAAAAGCTCCTGGAAACTCACTGATTAGTTGGAAAGTTGGATATATTGTAAGCTATTATGTAAATTCTCTTCAGCTATTTGAAGTACTTGCCGCAGAAACTTGAGAATGGTTAATTCTATAGCTCAATTGGTGTATGGACAAAGGTGCCAGACAAGATTTTAAAGGGGAAGTGACATCTGAGTTACATCTTGAAAAATGGATATGATTTCACATGGGAGAAATCAGAAAAACAGTGGACCTATGTGGAATGCCAGGGCATTCCAGGAAGGGCAAGTTGCTTGTGACTGATGTGTAGGATGGGCAGAGTAGGAGGCGGCCAGTGATATCCAGATTAGGGCCAGATTTGGTGAACGCCAGCATAGAAAATTCTTGACTACTTGCATATTTCAGGCTGCAACCCCCAAAATCAAAACTCTAGTTGGGCAGGACTTGAATACTATAGCAAATGTCTTCATCTTTTCTGTAGTTGCCTTTGGTGCTTTTCAGCCGCGGTAAGCCATAGACCCAGTGATACTTACCTTGTGTTACCAGTTTAGTTATTAGCTCAGTTAAGTTTACCATCTTCTTGTTGAATTCAGACTATGTGTACCTGTGCTAAATTCTACAACTTCAGATATAGGAACACATAATATAGCATAGCATGACAAGTACTAAAAGAGAAATAAGTACTATTGGGAGTCCAGAAGGGGCATGTAGGACAATTTGAAAATTAGGACAGCTTCCTCAAAGAGGTAATATTTGCTCTGAGCTGGATTGTGAAGGAAAATTAGGAGTTTTCCAGGTAAAGGAGGAGGAGAAATGGGATTTCCATGCAGAGGTAATTGGAATACTATTATTGCCTCTCTTATTTCCAAGGATCCTGAACATATTGTGTTTATTTGGGGAGAAAAATGGGGGAAAATGTGGTAAAGGGGGAAAGGTATGCCCCTAATCATTCATCTGCCAGATAACTATTCACATTTTGGGGAGCGGTAAATGGATCCTCAAGCAGATTCCAGCCTATCACCTTATCCACCTGTGGTAAATATAAAAATTCCTGAGAAACCATCTTAATTAATTATACTTGTACTTGACTTGTTCACTGTCATTCACCTGGGATTTATTACTATTTATCTTTTCTCTGCCATTTTTTCTATTATATAATCTCTCTACATCTTCCATGAAGCAAAGCAAATAGAATGTTTGTTTTATACCTGTTTTTCTATTTTTATTTATTTATTTTTAGAGAGGGAATTTTGCTCTGTCACTCAGGCTAGAGTGCAGTGGTATAATCATAGCTCACTGCAACCTCAAACTCCTGGGCTCAAGTAATCCTCTTGCCTCAGCCTTGCAAGTAGCTATAGGTAACTACAGGTACATGCCATCATGCCCTGTTTTTCTGTTTCTTGACTAGCATACATATCCCACTAATCTGACTTTTGCCTTCCCTGTTTGAACTCCCATATAGTAAGTCATCTTTAGATAAGAAATCTTCCAATTGCACACAGAAACCTTTAAAAATATTAAAAAGCCTTTTTTTCAAATTCAAAAAATTAATAGTATACAACATAACATTTTTTTACACCCACACCTTAAAAGGTTCTTATTTCACTTCATGGGAATAACCTGAATCACCCTTCTGTTATAGTGGTTACCTTGACTCATTGATGAATTATTCATATTTTCAGTTACTCTTGTTTAATTGTACTGATCTAAACTTTATTTAAAAGATAGAGCCAAGTCTATTAGTTACTCTTTACTTAGAGACTAATGTGTAGAACACTAGCCCCATGTACTCTAGGTTAGAGTCAGACTATCTTCAAAGCAGGCTGGCTGGCAGGGCACGGTGGCTCACACCTGTAATCCTAGCAGTCTGGGAGGCCAAAGCGGGTGTATCATTTGAGCTCAGGAGTTCGAGACCAGCCTGAGCAAGAGTGAGACCCCGTCTCTACTTAAAAAACAAAAAGAAATTAGCTGGACAACTAAAAATATATATATAAAATATTAGCCGGGTATGGTGGCGCATGCCTATAGTCCCAGCTACTTGGGAGTCTGAGACAGGAGGATTGCTTGAGCCCAGGAGTTTGAGGTTGCTGTGAGCTAGCCTGATGCCATAGCACTCTAGCTTGGGCAATAGAGTGAGACTCTGTCTCAAAAAAAAAAAGGCTGGCTTAGATTCTTTGAAGCTATATCACTAGGCAAAATGTTCAGCCATTGTTTTTGCTATCCTCTCCATCTTAAAAAACAGAAAAGACAAGATTACTTCATAAGCCACCAGAAGGGAGGGAAATTTGCTATAATTATCCTATTTATTGTCCTGTTTTACATCCAGTGGAAAAGACAAAAGTGCAAATTTACACGAATCTGGTAGAAATCAGTCTTTTCAATAGTAGGTGGGCAGAATAAAGGTTGTAAGAACTAACTGGTGTTTCTTCAATCTTTTTTCCTCTTTTTATAGAAACTGCCTCTGGTTAAAAGATACCTAAGTGATATTTTATTTATGATTTTTTTTTCTCCCTTTGATTCTTTAGTTACAGAAGAATTGCCTCCTTTCTCTTTGCAGTGACCGGATCCTCCAAGATGTTCCGTTTAACAGGCAAGTGATAGCCCTAGAACTTAAAATGGGGCAAAACAGAATTTTAGAAATCTGCCTTGGGTCATTTCTTACTATTTATTTTTAGGATATCCCTGGTGTAAGATTAATTGAGTAGGTGGGATTGTGGGTTGCTTTATAGAATGCTAAATCTACTTTCCCTAATTCAGTACTTTGATATTCATGGTATTAATTGGCCCATGTTTTAATAATCCTTTGCTTAAGAATTTATATTGGTTATAATTTTTAGAATATCCATATGACATTGTGGGCTATGAGCATTATTATCCCCATTCAAAAGGTGAAGAAACTGAGGTAATATATTCATTATCTTGCCTGTAGTTTTGTGACTAATAACTGCAATGTTAGACTAGGCTCTTCTTGTTCTAGGTCCAGTGTTCTTTTTTCTATAACATACCTCTTATTATTATCATTATTCAATATTGAATTATGGAAGAAACTTTTTGAGCAAAGGTTAAGGGAGGACATATAGCTGGGTTCCATTAAGTATAAAGGGGTCCCTTGTTTTCTAAGATGTTGTAATTTGGGAGCTAAAAAGGTGATTTTCTTCATTTTACTATTTTAAAGTGTAATTTTTAAATAATGGCATTTTGAAAAAGAAATTTATACTTCATAATTTAATGAAAAGTCTGTTTCTCAGACAGCAATTTTACTGTGATTTACTTTTTTATTTTTTTAAATATGAAATGCTTTATGAATTTATATGTCATCCCTGCACAGGGACCATGCTAATCTCTGTATTATTTCAATTTTAGTATATGTGCTGCCAAAAGGAGCACTGTGATTTACTTTTACTTCAATAACAGAGTATACTGCTACCTGGCATAGCTAAAGAATGAGATATTCTATTTTTCATTTGAAATAAATTATTTGGATAAAAATATAACTATATGTATATCATATAGACTGCTAATTTTATTTTGTAAATATTGAGCCTGTGCAATGACGTCAAAGATAGGAAAGACATAGTCACTCTCCTGAAAGCTGTAATCTAGGCCAGTGTTGGCAAATATTTTCTTAAACGGCTAGATTGTAAATATTTTAGGGTCAAAGGGTCTCTGTCACAACTACTTAGCTCTGCCACTGTACGTCAAAAGCAGTCATAGACAATATATAAGCAAATGGGTGTGTCTGTGTTCCAATAAAACTTTACAAAACAGAGAGCTAGGTTCACAGGCTACAGTCTGGCCAATGCACTCTGCTAGAATTGACCCTCTTTGTGGTCAGAAGCTATGCTTGGTTCATGTCTTTGTTTCTAGTGCTTGAGTAGATGTTTAATGGATAGATAGAGGAAAGACTGAATGAGTATAACATGAGACAGAATTTTTCATAGAAGAGTTGTTGATGGAATGCATTGTGCTTCCATACTAGAAAGGAAATATTCCATCTGATTGGTGATCATTAAAGACTTCTTGTGGCCGGGGGCAGTGGCGGTGGCTCACGCCTGTAATCCTAGCACTCTGGGAGGCTGAGGCGGGCTGATTGCTCAAGGTCAGGAGTTTGAAACCAGCCTGAGCAAGAGCAAGACCTCGTCTCTACTATAAATAGAAAGAAATTAATTGGCCAACTAATATATATAGAAAAAATTAGCCGGGCATGGTGACGCGTGCCTGTAGTCCCAGCTACTTGGGAGGCTGAGGCAGGAGGATCGCTAGAGCCCAGGAGTTTGAGGTTGCTGTGAGCTAGGCTGACGCCACAGCATTCACTCTAGCCTGGGCAACATAGTGAGACTCTGTCTCAAAAAAAAAAGACTTCTTGTTAGTGATGACACTTGAAATAAAGATAAAAACTAATATGTGACTGCCAAGGGAGGAGGAATATGGCGGTGGGGGCGAGGTATTTTCAAAAGAAAGAATTCCAGATTAATAGATGAAATTTTAAAACAACACCAGGAACTTCTGGGCCTAGATTATTCGAAATAATCACCTCAGTTTGCAAATAGTAATGACAAAGATGATCAAGTTTTAAATTGCCATTCAGCAGTCAAGGTGCTGTCCCCAGAAGATGGAAAAGCAGATATTGTGAGAGCTGCTCAGGACTTTTGCCAGTTAGTAACCCATCAGTGAAAGAGACACACAGATTTAGATGTAGCTATGTTAGACAGTTTACTTAGTTCAAATGGTTTCCCTGATCCTGATTTAGTTTTGAAGTTTGGTCCTGTGGACAGCACATTAGGCCTTCTTCCCTGGCATATCAGATTGACTGAGATTATCTCTTTGCCTTCCCACCTAAACATCAGTTATGAGGACTTTTTCTCTGCCCTTCGTATGCAGCCTGTGAGCAGTGTGTGAGAAAGTAGTGATCCTTGGTTGTGTAATTCAACTTAGGCTTTTTGAGAAAAGGATCCAAGTGACGCTGATGTTTACAAAGCATCTATGAAGCCCCATATATACCTAGTTCATAATCCTCATAATTTATCAACAAACACAAAAAAGTATCTTACTTGAGAGTGAGTGTGTGTGTGTTTGTGTGTATGTATGGAAATAAACGTATAAATGGGGGAAGTATTGGAGAAGGAAATATAAAGACCTACAACCTTGAGCAAATAGCATTATTTTAGGAGCTGACATTTCAGATTTAAAGTCTTCAGTCCCAACTACTTCCCTGTTTTTGTGGGGAGAAGGAGGGCTGATTAGAGCTGTTCTGGTTGTTGGGGGAGGGGAATAATTTTTGTTCGGTCCTTCCTAGTGACCAAAATTTTAATTTTAAAGAACAATATATTGGCTGAGTGCGGTGGCTCACGCCTGTAATCCTAGCACTCTGGGAGGCCGAGGTGAGCGGATTGCTCCCAGCTCAGGAGTTGGAAACCAGCCTGAGCAAGAGCGAGACCCCGTCTCTACTATAAATAGAAACAAATTAATTGGTCAACTAATATATATAGAAAAAATTAGCTGGGCATGATGGCGCATGCCTGTAGTCCCAGCTACTTGGGAGGCTGAGGCAGTAGGATTGCTTGAGCCCTTTCATTTTTCATTTTTCAGTTGAAACTTTTATAAAGAGGCACTTCCTTTTATCTGGTATTTGGTTACCCAGTGTACATATGAACCTATAGTTAAATATGTCAAACCAGGTGTAAATGGAAAATCCCTAGTACGACTTAATTTTTTTGAGACAGAGCTCGCTTGTTGCCTAGGCAGTGAATGCCAGGTGTCACCTAGCTCACAGCAACCTTCAAACTCCTTGGCTCAGCCAATCCTTCCTGCTTCACTCCCGACGTAGCTGGGACTTACAGCATGTGGCCACATGCCCGGCATAATTTTTTCGAAATATTAATTGGGCCAATTAATTTCTTTCTGTTCTATAGTAGAATTTTTCTATATATTTTTTAGTTGCCAATTAATGTCTTCTATTTTTAGTAGAGAACGGTTCTCCATCTTGCTCAGGCTGGTTTGAACTCCTGACCTTGGATGATCACCGCCCAGCCTCCCAGAGTGCTAGATACAGGTCTGACCACAGCCAGCATAGACTTAATTTTAACAAATCTGGCTGGGATTGGCAGACCTGTAAATCTTGGGAATTAATTAATACATTATTTTGCAAATATTTATTGAGGTGTCTCGACCAAGCTAATGAACAGTAAAATGCTAATGACAGGTCTAATGAGTGTGTCAATTATGGATGATGGCTTGAAAAGAGATGTTTTAGTACAACCTAATTTAGGTCATGTAGTCAAGAAGCCCTTTTAAATGTGATACTAACTACTAACTTGAATAAGAAGGTAAGTAGGCCAGCCGTGGCTCATGCCTGTCAATCTACATCTGGGACGCCGAGGCGAGATGCTGAGCAGGAGTTTGAGACCAGCCTGAGCAACGAGCCGGACGCCACTCTACTAAATAAATATTGGCAATAGATAAATGCCAACTATATTGGCAACATTAGCCAGGCTGTGACGCAATGCTGTAGAACCCATGCTACTCGGAGGCTGAGGCAGGAGGATCGCGTAAGCCCAGGAGTTTTGGGTTGCTGGTTAGCTAGGCTGGTGCCAAGGCACCTCACTCCAGCCTTGGAACAAAGCGAGGACTTCTTCAAAAAAAAAAAAAGGAACAAAATAAAGTAATAAATTATCAAGCAAAGAAGAAAGGAAGAAGGAAGGCTGGCGTGGTGGCTCAGCCTGTAATCCTAGCACTCTGGAGGCGAGGGCAGGCGGATGCTCAGGTCAGGAGTTTGAAACAGCCTGAGCGAGAGACCCGTCTCTACTAAAAATAGAAATTAATTGCAACTAATATATATAAAAAAAATCGGGCATGGTGGCGCATGCCTTAGTCCCAGCTACTCGGGAGGTGAGGCAGGAGGATCGCTTGAGCCCAGGAGTTTGAGGTTGCTGTGAGCTAGGCTGGTGCCAAGGCACTCACTCTAGCCTGGGCAACAAAGTGAGACTCTGTCTCAAAAAAAAAAGAGAGAGAGAAAGAAAAGTTTCAGTCAGGGGAGACATTATATTACATATAATGGCCTTGCTGAGAAAAGCTTAGCTTTTGAAAAATCAGAAAAAAAGACCAGTGTAACTGTAATACTGTTATCTAGGGAAAGACGGTTACCTTAAGAAAAAGATGAAGCCTAATGCTGTGGTAAGTCCTTATAAATAGTGACAAATATCTTGAGATTTATTTTAGGTGCAACATAGAAAATTTTGCCCATAGGCTTATGCTAGGGTCTGACCTATCTAATATATATCTCTTCAGGATGAATATACCTCTTTAGGATGACTATTCCGGATAGGTTGGAAAGTAATATTTCCATTAATATCAAGCCTCATGTAACTATCCGGGATGCCATGTAACATAGATGATGATACAAGTGATTTATATAGGAGAAAGTTAGAAGTTGAAAATAATTCTAAAAGCTAATCTTTTGGCTACGGTCAAAGGTGTCTGGAAGCCAATGAAACTCAGATTGCAGAAGCATTGAAGCGGTACAGTGAACGGGCATTCTTTGTCGGGAAGCTCTATTTCATCTTTTAGTCTGACTCATTGATGGAAAACAAC